TATATATATATATATATATATGCACTTTAGATATATTGATATAGTTTGAGAAACTTTATTAAAGTTAGTCAAGTGCCTGAGTTTTTAATATTGGACTTGAGTATTTATATATTGTGCATCAACTCTGTCCGATACAAGAACACTGTAGGAGTGGGTGATCTGTTCTAGCACCTTTAAGCATTTACTTTATGGAGAGTATGTAAGTTATTTATACACGAAATCTATTTTATGTCATTGTTGTTTAGAAGAATTGTGTGAAATCATGTAGTTGCAAATAAAAAGTAGTTTGAGGCATGACAATGTGTGTTTCTGTTCTGTACATAAAAAGAGAAAGCAGAAAGGGACATTTCAGTGCAACTAAATACTTCTCAAAGACAGTACACAGAATGTAAGAATGCCAAAAATCCTATAAGAAATCAACACTTTATTAATTGTACTTCACCACCCACATAACACACTATGCATATAAGAAGTCTAAAATGTATTAGTGGTAACTTATTAAAAATATAAAAATAATAAAACGTCTTTTAACTATTAGACACTGTACATAGGATTTCTGTAACCAAGAATTTGGCCAGTTAATTTCAATATGACATCTGACAGACTTGCTTCATGCCAATGGATAAAGCAATAATATTCTTGGAGTTGCTCTTATCTCTACCTTGTGTTTTTTTAGAAAACATTTTTTAAGTCAGGTAGTACAGTACTTCAGATTCTTCAGTAATCCTTCGTATTTATACCACTGTGATTCCATCAGTCTTGTAAGCGTATTTGAACTACAAAAAGAAAAAAAAGACATGTCTTCATAAGAGTTTGGAATTTTTCCAGAGGTAAAAGTTCTGAAAACTTAAGTCAGGAATACTTTTCCCATAACTCTCATCTTTAAATTTTTAGTCTTAAATTATTAGGTCAGAAAAACCACAACTTGCTAATTATGTGATGGCCTTGGCTATACCAAAATGTTGTCATTTTCAAAAAAATTAAACTCTAGAATACAGAAAAGGTATATATAGCTCAGTGGTATGAAACTGTGAGGACAGGTGTTTTTTGTTCTTATGTATTAGGTCATTGGGAAAGTCATGACTTTTTTTTCTAATGTAAAATGCATCATGACTGGGGCCATCAGATGATGTGGCAGTTATGTTGCAGGACTCCCCCATGGCCAACCACGGTTAAGAGTCCCAGACCCACTGGCTTAAAACTGATGCAACTACTTAATAGTTGTTAGAGGACATGAGCACTCACTAGAGGAAGAAAGCATCCCCTAATGGGGCATGGTCATGCTTTAGTCCCTTCATTTATCCACATGTCAGGATTTTGAGCATGCACATGTGTCATCAGGGCTGGGTCTGGAACACTGGTTGGCCATTTGTGATCTAGCTTATTCTGAGCAGCATTTAACCTGAGCTACAGGACCATCTTGGAAAAATCTGTTTTAATTTTTTTTTTAAATTGTTATTGGGCACATGTGCTCACCAGAGACAGCGCATGCAAGTCACCAGGTCCAGAACTTGAACCATGGTTTGCCCTGTGGGAGTTCTTAGCCACCACTACACCTGCTGGCCCCCCAAATATTTATTTTTAAATCTTAAGAGACTTACGGTTTTAATATTACAGTACTCTTACTGTACTCCTTTAAGGCACATAAAACTTAAACATTTTTAAATTCTAATACCCATTTTTTCTGAAATCTATAGTGAATTCTTATTCAAACTTAAGGATACTTGGGGCAGTTGGCATTACAAGAAAGATTTTTACTTAAGTTTTAAAATTTATATTTCAAAGTTACTACATTGTTCCATTTGGGTCCTAGCAAAATTTATGGTGATAAGACAGATTTGTGAGCAATTGGTATAAAGTTGCAAAGTCTGAAGTAGAATGGAGGAGAAGGGATGATGGTGTGGTCCCATGGAGGGTGAATTTTTGCTTTCTGTCTCTGGTCAGTTCACTCACACTGTAGCAAAAAAATCTTAAAAAAAAAATTCCATTTGTTTGTTTTATTATTATTTTAATTTGACCAGAGGGGGGAGAGAGAAGGAAAGCCAGAAAGCAAGCCACCAAGTCAGAACTGCAGTAAGCATGTGGAAGCTCCAATACCCTAACCACCATGCCACCTGCTGGCCTGATCATTTATTTTAATTCCTTTTATTTTAATATTTGTAGGCATAAATGCGAAGCTCTAAATTTTAGAGGTTAAACATGGACATGGATGTTTGAAAAACATTCTCTTTTTAAGTTCTGTTACTTTGATATTGAAGTGCTTATTTCTTTTTTAGCATACTTACCTCAAAGGTATTTAATTTTTCAGTAAACTGATTTCAAGCTAAGATACTAAAGCATTTATGTTGACTAATACTCTGCTGCCACAGGTAACATGATAATTGGGAAGGTGGTGAACTGAAGAACACTTACCATGTACATTTTATCTTTTAGTCATTCTATCCATTTTACAGTTAATAGTACTTGTTAT